TTTGACCGTGTATGATGGTCCTCTTGAGTTGCCGTACAGCCAATGGCGTACAGCCATTGCTCCGTTTTCATGTTTTTTTAACATGTTTTTCACACGCTAGGAGTATAGGAATACTTCAATTCGGTTCGTCATGATCTGTAGATGTGATTTGCCCCCGAGCACCCCTGGGTAAATTACCGTACAGCCAATCACAATGCGTACAATGCGTGACGTCACTGGTAAGAGACGGACCCTGAACACATCGTGTACCGACACCGGCACCGCCCTTTATTACCTGTCACACACGAACGCGCACATGACCAATGAGGGCACGAGATAAATGTGTGCACAGATGGAAGGCGCCCGGCTAAAATGATTGGTCGTGCTTTTTACAGTAGCCTACTACGGCTTCCACAGATGACATTTTTTAATGGATTTTTTGTCAAAGCACTTAAGATATTCAATGCTATCGGGATGTTAAGAGCATTCCATGGAATATAACAAAAAGTGTATCTCGAGCCGGTTTCTCAAACTTACCTACCCCACCTTTAAATGCTTTGACAATAAATACATAACAAAAATTCATCAGTGGAAGCCGTGGCGCTGTAAAAAGCACGACCAATCATTTTAGCCGGCCCGGCTAAAATAACAGGATGGGCTACCTGCCTGTCAGCCTTCCATCACAAACTTATCTCGTGCCCTAATTGGTCATGTGCGCGTTCGTGTGTGTTGGAGGAGGGGCTCTATAAGGAAGTGGCAGATTTTTTTCCAGCTGTGTGTTTTCAAATTCGAGCGCACTCGAGCTGGTTTCTCCAAAATTACCTACCCCACCTTTAAGCAAAAGTACAAATACTACTCTGTAAAAATACTCTGTTACAAGCCAGATTCCTGCATTGGAAATTGTACATACAGTATGTCAAAGTAACTCCATATAATCAGAAAAATGTAGTTAAAGTAATACATGTAAAAGAACCCAATATTCCAAAATAATTCAAAATAAAAAACAATTTTTATCTCAATGTATATGCTAACTTAGTAGCTCTCAATTGGCTAGATTAATCAAATACGCTTGGCCAGGTCAATGTATAACAAAATATCATACATTATGAACTATACTTTGTAAAGTAATCAAAAATATGTTAATGTCCAACAACTAATTGGGTGTCCTGGTACAACAGGGTCAATAGGGGATGTGATCATTACACTGATAAAATCAGTGAGTCAATTAAACCCACATGGGGTTTTGGTTTGGCAGTGACTCACTTGTCTCCTCTCCACCCTTTTCTCCAAACACACAGACCTTGTGGTTGAGTTACATAAGGAGCAAAAATAAAAACGAGAAACAGGCTGAAGTCTTACAGACTGACCTGCTGTTGAAGCAGACCTTCAGTTCGAAGGGTAAAGTACAGATAGCTAAATCAAGAAAGTCTGGGGGAGAAACCACCTTTCATATTATCATGTTGTTTACATCAAGTATCACCTGACCTACCGCAGGCTGTGAGATTGATTCAATGTTTTGGTATGTTTTATAGCCTATTAAACATTTTATTTCTACAGGCGGGCCGGCATGTAAGCTGACAACAATTTGAAAAACACTGTAAAACTTAAGCCCCCCTGATCATATTAACACCAGCTTGTGCCAAGAGCTGAAGAACGAATCTAAAACATCTGTGGCAAACGACCTCTATGCCGTGGAGCTGAGCTTTATAATGATGTTTATTGAATGCCTGCTTTAAGATTTAGCTGTTTTTCAGAGCAGAGCAGTTATCAAAAAGGAGTTTGACTGAGAAATAAGACGCTGAGTATGCGGTTATACAACATAACTTTGGCTCTGTGTTCATAAATTTCCCTTTGGTGTTCACTGAAATCTGAACATTATGCTTGTAAAACTTCAGCCTATGAACACCCCTGAGCTGCGGGATTATGGGGAAACTGTAATCATTCACGAACCATAGTAAATGAAGGGCCTAGACAATGAATCACATTAATAACACGTTCTAGCTAGTTTGTCTTTATTTTAATGGAGAATGTGGCATTGCATCACAAGTACCCAGCTAAATGTATGGCCAATAGACATGCTTCTTAGTCAGATAGGATTCTGTTTCCTCCTTTAAACTGGAAGCACTGGAGGAGGTCACTTTTACCCCTGATCCTCTGTTTTGTTTGTTGTAGCTCTCAGCTTATTTCATTTTAAAATGTATATTAACTTTTCAACTCTAAAGAAAATTGAAGCAATTTTATAATGAGAAAACCCACTAAACTACGATTTGTATAGATATTTTTTATTATGTCTTACCTATGAATCAAATAAATCAATGAAAATTCACAACTTACAATACCTGTGTCAAGATACAACCTTTCTGTGAGTACTGACACTGTAGTGGCAGGGGGGCAATGACCCCTTAGTGCAGGGGTGGGGGACCTTTTTCCTCTCAAGGGCCATTTCAATTTTTTCTACATCCTCAGAGGGCCGTACAAATGATTGACCTCTGCTTAAAAATACTAAAATCACAGCCCATTCATTTGGCCTTTCTTTCATGCTGTGCAAAGAAAAAGCAACCTCTTAATCCAGATATCTTACTATGACTCGCGCATGCATGCACGTGCACGGTTGTGCCATATCCACCAAAACAGAAAGATATGGACACAAGATGTGTGCAAAAGTATTTAGTTTAGAAGACTTGTTTTTAAATGTTGGAGTTAAAAGCATCAATCTGGTGTGAGAGCAACATTAGGAGATCTATGGATACATCTCTCAACATCCATATGAAAGAGAACTGGAAGCAGATTTTCTTTTTCTTTATGGATATTTTACAAATCACTCCACTTTCAAACTGTATTCTTGTTTATTAATAACAACTTTTTTTTTACTGTCATACAGTATTTTATACCTGTTTACTTTATTCTCTTATAACTATAATGATCATATAAAGATGTGCCTTTACCTCACTGGTTGTAGAAAAAACTTCTTATATTCGTTAGCATAGCTAGCTAACCAGATGCTAATAACAACAAAGTAATTGACTGTATGATCAGTATGACAGATGAACAGATCGCCACTGGGCTTTCAACTAAAGACACAGCCACGCAAAAACTGCGGCATGTGTACGGCTCCTTATGGGTAGCCTACTGCACCCCTGTCAGACGAGACATATACCACGTGATGACACGTTAGGCTCGTGTTGTATTCAAGGACCCTAACCTTGGCCAGGAAAAACAGGAACTCCCTTGTTTAATTTTGTTGCGGTCTAGATTTCTTTAACTTTTTTCTTTTTTGCGTGTGTTTATAAATTACCTCGAGGGCCGTACCAAATGGTCTCGCGAGCCGTATACGGCCCGGGGGCCGGAGGTTCCCCACCCCTGCCTTAGTGGATCTAATGTTAAACGGAAGCTCTTTTTATGTTTACTCTTCCTCTGGACTGACTGTGACATATTGCTGTTGCTTCTGGGAAAGAATTGTCGGAAATATTTCCTCTTCCCTTTTTTCTCATGTCAATTTACTGTTGTCACAACAGACCCTCGGACTGTATGGGGGACCACAATAACACTAAAGACACAAAACACAACAATACAGGATGTCTATGGCAAGATGCGGCAGGGCTTTTGTCAGTTCATCAAAAACTACGCGTTATTCTAATCTCTTATTTAATTATGTTGTTCTGTTTACAAAAAAAAAACAAGAATCCATGCATGGCTTAATTAACACAGTCAGGATATTAGACATTACACAGGCCTTTTAGTAATATACCTTCTTCCTTAGCAATGCTAGTGTAGTTTATATTTATTCAACCCCAATTACCAGCTCTGGGGGATATAATAACATGTGTTACTTATAATATTAACAATCCCAGGAGGCTTTAACTATTCCATTGAACATCTTCAAGCACATAATGAGTATGTGTGGTTTAACACTAGACTCCACATGTTTCCTGCCCAGCTAAACATGATTACATCCCACATCCTCTGTCTCACCTTCCTATCAACAGCTCCTGCATCATAAGGCAGGTTGTCCAATGAGTTCTGCCAGCAACTGTGACCACATAATCCACTTGACATTCACCCATACACACAGAGGCTCTGGTGCTCTGTCATGTGGTTCTGTTTAGTGTCGTCACATCTACCAGCACTCGGTGGGAACTTGTCTGTGGGCTGGTAACTCGAGAGTCTGTTGTGGTTAAGCTGAGACCTGGACACGTTGCACAATCATCTTCCGCTACATTCCGTCCTCTGTGCTTGATGGGAATGAGAAGAAAACATGCAGTGTGTAGTTGTTGAGTTGTGTATATGTTGAACTCTGTGGTGAGTTGTTTACCATATGCTGAGCTGGAGATGGGAAACTGTTCTACAATAAATCTATATAACCTGCAGTATCATGTTCTCTACTGTAAACATATTGGGGCTGAGGCGAATTCAAACAAATTACATTAGAAGCTTCTATTGAAGTTTTCATATTTTGTTTGTCCTCACCGTACAGATCATTTTAAAAAAAAAAAAAATCTGTGTTGAATTCACAGCACTTTGGAGTAATTGGAAATGCCTGGAATACCCCTTAGCTGTTGCAAAATCACTATAAATCAATACCATTCATTGGATTTTTTTAACTCAGCTTTGACTATTCCAATTATTCAATACAGCTATAATAAATATGTAATGAAAAACATGCTTTTTTTCCTCTGTGAACTGCCCGTTGCACTAAAGAGGTTAAACAAAATGATGTACTTGTAGCAGTAGCTAAAACACCTAGCCTGAAAACCTTTAAACAAACAACATAAAAATAGTTTTCAAGATTGAAAGCAAAGCAAAGAACAGCTGGACTCCAACGCCTTCAGTTCAAATGTTTGCCGTCTACTCAGCCCACTCTGGTGAGATATAAGCACTTAACCTTGGAGAAATAGGGAGCACTTTTTTACAGCCAGATAAGACAGACAAAGACTGAACTGTGAAATGAAGTGGGCTGTTTACAATAACCAAACTGCAGCTCAGGAGCAATATGTGAAATCTGTTCTCAGGTTAGAGATCTTATAGAAGTCATCTTTAAAAAGCTGCTGGGTCAAATGCTTTGTGGAGATACCGTCAAGTAAACAATACAAAGAAGACAAGCTATGTTTAGTTTTAAGGGGTTTCTATAATATTCTCTACAATTCGAGATGTGTTAAAAACACTTTCTGGAGAGGATTCCTGGCCCCATATTCTAAAGGTTATCTGGATGTCCCATTTCACATCTCCATTGTTATTGTTATTGACTCATGATGGTGGTGTCACATTGTATATAAAACTATGCTCTGTTTAATGTCTCTTTTTTGTGGGGTGACACAGACACAGTATGTCCATGTACTCACTAATCTAGGACAGGTTGTATTCTATGTTTAACAGGTGTGGTACCGACGGTTGAGTGTAAATGACAGAGCCTTAAAATGTAAAGAGGAGGAGATGCAAACGGTGAACACAGATGGTGTTGTTGGGCTGGGTGTTCGTTACTACACCTGCCCTACTTGTTCTTCTATCAGCAGCCTCAATACAACCTGCTCTGCTTGTGTGCATATGGGTGAGAGCCAATGCATGAGTCAATAATGTATAAACAGTGCAGGAAGAGACTCACACCACAAATGATTCCGATCAGTGATTGTCAGAATGGATACAAGTTCAATGTTGTGAACTAATGGCTCTTTTTATTTCTGTCTGGGAAGTTCCTCCTGCAAACCAAACAAGTTGTGCCGACTATTAAAAGTAGGGTCAAACGTCAAAATTGTATTGCAATTGCGATATGGATTATTGCAATATTCAACTCATAGAAAGCATAATATTGGTTAAAGGGGCCCTATCGTGTTTTGTGGGGTTTCCCTTTCCTGTAGTGTTATAGGTTTTTTATGAATGGAAATGGTCTGCAAAGGCTAAAATCCCAAAGACTCCTTCAGAGGCACACAATACAAATATGAACCTGGAAATGACCATCATATGACCACTTTAGAGGCTAAATATGTGGTTAAATACCATATTGAATGAAGTGTAGTGGAGCTGCACAGATATCTCGGCCGACAAAATGGATTCTACAGACCTAACAAAACGTATTTGGTATGGACATCATGATCATTTAAATATATATCAATACCAGATCAATACAAATGAGAAAAATTAGGTGAAAAGGATCCATTCCTCCTATATTGTCTAAGGTCAGAGGGTGTCGTTTTCTCATACTGATATTCTGCACAAACTGCTGTTGTATTTACTGTACAGAGTCCTTACTGTAAGGTAATTATTATATGTACAGCACTTTGGCTCGACCAAAAATCGTTTTAAAAATGTGCTATATAAATAAAACTTGATTTGATTGGATATTGTGATTGCAATATCAGTTCAAAATCATCCTAATCGGCAATTGTTTTCCAAATTATGCAGCCCTAATTAAAATAATCATTAAATTCTAAAATAAATATACAGGTTTATATTTGTATCCAAGCATTATTACAGATCAAACACACCCTGACCTGCACTGCCTTCTGTCATAGGAAACGCTCTTCAGTAGATAAACAATGGACAGTAAAGGTCAGATAGGGAACAGCTAACCACCGCCCCTCTCTCTTCTCACATGCTTTTCTCATCCAGCCGACTTTTGACCACGGTAGATACAATACACTGACACACCTAACTGAGGTAGCAGATGGTGTTGCTTCATACACTGCAAACAAAACAGAGGACCTGTCCTGCACAGACATTTTAAGTGGTTAATTACATGTGGGTTTTAACAATACTAACGCTCAAAGGCATATGATTTAATCTCGTGATGCTGGAACCTTTGACAGCCGTGCCACGTCATATGATTTCCCCGCAGGGAGTCACAAGGAAGATATGAAGTGCCTCTATTGTTCGGCAGCCACAACAGAACTGATCTCAACATTTTGTCCCACAAGTTAGATTTAAAATAGAACAAAAACTTAAAATGTCAGTTTCACAACTCTGAATATAAAAAAAAAATCAGTTTCTCTGACAGCGTCCTTGACAATCAGTGTCAGTCCTGAGGCAACAGCGTGTGGCAGAGATTCATTATTGTACTGCAATAGGGTTTTATGTCATGGTGGGGTGCAGGGGGCATGGACAGCTGTGTGTGTGGCTGTACAGTTGACAGAGAGAAGATATAATAAGAAGGAGAGATATGGGATGTCAGTCAGTGAGAAGTCAACTGAATAACTAAAAGAGACAAGAGACAAAGACTCTGGAGAAGAGCGAGGAATCTAGACGGACCGAAAATCTTAATGCACCGAAAATCCAACGTTCCCTTCAGTCTCAGGGGCTCCTGCTCCATATATATTGGCATTTATCCATATGTAGGGTGGGGACTTAATTGGACCTCGGCTCTTATGCAACACACACGAGGGGTCACTCAGCGTGGCCCCTGGCTGCACCCTGCCTGTCATGTGAGTGTGAGTGGATATGTGCTAATGGTTAGCAAATGGCGAGCTAGGTAAATAGTCAAATAGAACCATAATGATGTCAGGCGTATGGGGAATAGGCTCTCTCTGTGTGTGTGTGTGTGTGTGTGTGTGTGTGTGTGAGTG